TTCCTACCAGTCCCTGTTCTATTATCAATTTAGATAAGCTCATTAGGTATAGTTTACTCGTTGCCACCTTCTACCCCTCTTTTCTTCAATATATCCTGTGAGTGTCAAATTCACCAAGCCTTATTTCTCCTCCAAAATCTTTATCTCTGATTATTGACTTCTGGCTAAATTGCTGATAATATATCTTTTAGCAGAGCACTGAAGCCCAACCACCTGGCGCAAAAGTTTATCTTATATGTCTTCGGAATGAATTCCCTTTATGAGAGGTTCATTAAAAAGCAAACTGTTTTGCAGTGAACATAAAAGACATTTAAAACTCTTTCATAAACCAACCTTTCTTATTGTTACCATCTGTAATTGTTATCGGCACCATCCATGTGTTAAGCATTACAACCATGGTTCAAGCTGATAAATGCTTGTATATGATTACATTTGAACATCACAAAACAAAATCTTGAAAGTTCCTGATTCTCAACACTCTTCTTTGACTTTTAATGTTACAAACTTAAATAGCATTAACCTTGTTGTTCTAATACCATTTCTCAACAGCTTAAAGTGGCAAGATGATGCTTTGATTCAATTCCTCTGGCAGGTAATATGCTCTACTAAGAAGATTATTCTTGGATTATGTTAAAATAGAGAGAGATGACAGCTAAGGATGGACATATTGAGCTCTCCATTGGCGGTTGTTGTTAGCCATCTTGGCAAGTGATTTTGCAAGGGTTTCTTTCATTCTTATTCAAATATACCTTTCTCATTGTAAAAAGGTAGTGTTTAGGTTTCACACCTTTTCAATTTGCAAAAGAGCCTTGATCCAGTGGCTCAGATTTGACAAATTTAAAGTGATAGCAACCTCATTGAGGCAATTTAATGAATCAAAGAAAAATCAATTATTTAAAGCCAGATTCCAATCATGGATTTGCATTTTGGGCAAATTGGGATTATTGACTCATGTGTAAATGTGTTTGTTTAACATTTAGAACATTTAGATTATCCTGCTGAGCTTTCTACTAATCCCATAAAAAGAAAATATTTAAGTAAATAGAAAAATAAGTAAATTACATTTAATTATTTTATAATTAAAAATATTTAAAACAATAAATAATGACATAAGAAAGCTTTTGAAAGATTAACATAGTTAATATTTCAAATTTATTTAAAAAAAATACTTAACACTTTCATAAGAATGACAAATAGAAATACCTTCAAAGAACTATATTCAAATAAAACTAAATATCTATCTATCTATCTATCTATCTATCTATCTATATATATATATATATATATATATATATATATATATATATATAAGCAGACATTGAAATCATAGACATAAAAACTAACCTAAATGAAGTAGATTTTCTAGATGTCATCTTCAACCTAAGAAAAAGTACATATAAACTGTATAGAAAATCCAATGATAAACCACTATATATACACACATCTTCCAATCACCTGCCATCTATAATCAAGCAGATACCAAAATCAGGCTTTTTGACAATTCTTCCAATGAAACCATATTCATCAAAGCTAAGAAAGACTATGAAACAGCCCTAAAAGATACTGGATTCCCAGCAACACTCACATACATACCACTGTTCAAAAAGATCAAATTGGCAGCTAATGTATATTCTAGAGCAAGGAATGGCTTGATAATGTTAACACCTCTAAAACAAAACTGCTTTCTTTTAATCATCAGAGATAACACTTTTTGCTTTTATCACCATGGTTGATGCTAACCTCTCAGAGAGTGACTCATTGCAACTTCTCAGCTAATGTTTTCAGCTGACATGAAGTGAAAAGTGGAATATGTAAAGATTATATTGAATCGACTGCTAGGACTGCTGCTAGGAAAGTTGGTTCACTGTGTCATGCTAGACAATTTTACACACCAGAATCAATCTTACACATATATATACTGATGTAATGGAATAACCTGTCAACCCCAAGGGTGACTAAACTATAGGTAGTAAGTACGCATAAAGTCAACTGACTTACGAGAAACTTGAAGGGAAGCAGTTGATTACGACTCTGTACTTACTCAAGAACTATTCGACCTTCCAACAGCAGCACTCACTACTAGTTATCACAATAACCTGTTACTTATTTATCCACCATGTTCCAGTGATATTCCTATTAGCATGGAATATAACATATACATATACCATTTGTCCATGCATTGAATATTGCTGCCACATATGGTGTAGGGCTTCTGTTATGCATTTAGAGATTCTTGAAAAGAATCCAAAAAAGAATCTGCAATGTTATCGGTCCTGACCTGGTATCTCAACTACACTTACTTCCACATCACTGTAATATAGCTTCCCTGGATCTTTTCTATAAATATTTTTATGTTCTCTATGTTACTTGGATTTATGAATTTAAGCACAAAACTATTCCAATTGAATCCATTACATTCACTTATGTACTAATACCCTTGGAGAAGGTATGAATCCCCTTCTTCTCCCCCCAGTTAAATAGCAGGATAGATTGGGTTCTATAGCCTTACATGGCAAGTGGTCTACTGCAGAAAGAAATAGCAACCTACTGTGGGAAACATTCTGCCTCGTCAGTCATGTATCAAAGATACATGACTGACGATGCAGAATGTTTCCCATGATACATGATTGCCTAAGTGTGTATCAAGCATGGCACATAACTGAATGACTGACTATATTGGCGGTAAGGTCTTAATGTAACCTTGAGCTCTATGGTAACTGTTTCTTCACTCACACTTCTTACTTGTGAAACTGTCTTCTAGCTTCTTGCTTTTGTTATACTCCATTGAAAATCTCCAGATCTCATTCCAATTCATTCTGTATGCTGGCTGGATTTGAGCACTACAAAAGCTGAAGATGAAATAACAAAAGTCATTTTCTGTGCATTGGACTTCACACAGCATGTCTGGTCTACAAAGTGGCCAAATGCGAATGTTCCCACTGGTAAAAGAGATGTTCCTTGGGACTACTAGACCTGTTTAAAAGCAGGCTCTGAGGACAATCAGCCACAGTTATGGTCTGGATAGGCTATCGGCTATCATACAGGGCACTGCTGCTGCTACCACTGCCAGGACCTCATCACCATGACAACAGAATTGCAGACTGGCTGTCATGCAGAGCACTACTACTGCTGCTGTCACCGCCACCACTCAACATGACCACACATCTCATCCTCGACTCCACCCAGCAAAGCTATCCAGCTTCTATGGGAAACAGCTCAACCTTGATACTTCCCAGCTACAAGCTTTTATTGATACCAACAGTCGTCGTCACCTCGGCCTACCTCAACTCATTTACAAGGCATTCCCATTTCAGTCAACCCCAGCAACATCCGCTCCACAGAACAGCACTACCTTGACTCATTTACAAGGTATTCCCTTCACAGTCGATGCAGGACCTGCATTCTACAGAACATCTCCACCTCAACTCATTTACAAGGTATTCCCTTCAGTCGATGCAGCTACATCCGTTCCACAGAACTGGCCTACCTCAACTCGTTTACAAGGCGTTCCCTTCATAATCTATCCCAGTGACATCTGCTCCACAGAACAGGTCTATCTACCTTGACTCGTTTTCAAGGCATTCCCTTCATACTCAAAACCAGTGACCTCTGTTCCACAAAACAGAGCTACCAAGACTATGCCAATCTGACGTCACTCTGTTTTAACACAACAGGTCAACCAACTGATCACACTCAGTAACTACCTGCATCTTAGAGGTTTTATTGCCTTTCTTGAGGAAAATTGATAAAAAATATATATATATATATATATATATATATATATATATATATATATAAAAATATATATATTTATATTTATACTATAAAATATAATTTAAGGCATAATATCATTTATAGAACAAAATGTAAATATAAGGATAGAACAAGTTCAAATATAAGTGGTGACAGTCAGTTTTATGCTTCAAACAGGTTATCGTCACTTTATGTTTCAAACAGATTATCTATATATATATATATATATATATATATATATATATATATATATATATATATATATATATATATATATGTATATATATATGATGTACTCTCCCATTGACTTTGACATATGTGGATCCATCAACCTCATTCTGTTTTTATGTTTCTATCATATGTGATACTTCAGTCTGACTAATGACCTGCATACAATTCCACATATTGTGTAACAGCAAGGATCTCAGGTTATAGCTACAGATTTAAATATTTTTATTTAAAGTTCTATTAAAATGGCCTTAAATCATAATTTTTTAGTAATAAAATCAATATTATATCTTATATTTATTGGCTGCAATTTTTGCTATTACTTGGTGCCTGGGATAAAACTCTAAATCTGTTGATAATCAATTTGCTTCTTTAACCAATGACCCAAAAACACAAGCATCCCAGGTAGATTTAAGGATCTCTGAAGAAATGAGGTATGAAAAAGAATATTAAGAAATTTATGAGATGGATTATGCTAAAAGAAGGATTTTGATAATGAAGAAAAAAAAGTTATTTTGAATAAAAAAAGAGACATTCATGAGAATTAGATAAAGCAATTTTATACAGAGAATGGGAGTTTCTATTTGTCAGTTGAAGAGCATATGTAAAGCTATATTAATATCAAAAACAAAATGGCTGTAGGTATTTTGGGCTGGCATTCCATTGTTGGCTTCTAGTATAAGTGGGAAAAAGGGTTGCAGTGAATAAGTTCGATAGAGAGTTGGAAAAATGTTGAAAATATGTTGACAAAATTGAAAAAAAAAAAGAATTGTTTGGTAAAAATACTTGAGAGTTTTAGATATTAAGCTGGAAATTTTTATAAAATTGAATCATTCTTTTTTATTATTTTTTTTAGCTATTTAAAGAAACTTCATTTTACTTTTTGTTTTATTATTCATTTTATTGTTTTGTTTTTGTTTTTTTTTTCCATTTGTATTTTTTAAAACTTATTTTTATTTCTTTTGTGTTTTTCTTTTTTCCTTTCAGTTTTTCATTATATATTCATCTTTTACTCTTCAATGCTTATTTTCTTTCTTTCTTTCTTTCTTTCTTTCTTTCTTACTGTCTCTCTTTCTGTCTTTCTTTCTTTCTATCTTTCTTTGTTTCCCACTGTCTCTCTTTCTTTCTTTCAGTTTTTCATTTTATATATTCATCTTTTACTCTTCAATGTTTATTTTCTTTCTTTCTTTCTTTCTTTCTTTCTTTCTTTCTTTCTTTCTTACTGTCTCTCTTTCTTTCTTTCTGTTTTTCACTTTTGCTTCTAATTTTTCCTCAATGTTTTTTCCTTCTTCCTCCAGACACAAAGGAATTCAAATTAGAATAAGTGAAAATGCTAAGGAGATATTTCTTGAGCATTTTCAAATGATTACTCACTCAAAACTGTCACTTCAATATGAATTAAACATTCCTGATTTCAATTCTTGAAGTGGGATAGCCATTCATGATTTTAAATGTAATCACCATCTTTTCTTTTTCTTTTTTTTTTATTCTAGTTTTATTTCACTTTTAAAAAGAATCTGAAAAAATATGCATGTCTAGCGACATTTTTGTGTAACAGACTTTTTTTGGGACATCAAAATTGCAAATACAGGGAGTTATATTAAATTTTTCTCTCTATCAAAATCACATGAATGATTTTCAATTCTGCTGACTCGTGAAAAAAATGCAAGTAATATTCTTAAAAATGAGCATATTTTTTATAGCTTTTGTATGAGTTATAAAATAGCAAATCTGATTTTTGAGAGAAATTACCTTTTTAGTCATTCCATATGATTCCATATCTTCTCCTAGACCATTTTTTTAACCTATTCTTGGAGCAGAGAAAATTTTTAACAGAAAATTAGGTAAAGTTAAAATGAAAAAAAAATGATGAGATAATATGTAGAAAATAGCCAGTGACTCATTCCTAATATTAGATTATCTTGGTAAAATATATGAGTAGTTTGTGTCCAAAATTGTCAATGTTGAATCTCTAAATGAAGATTTATATGAGGTGTTAAAAATTTTATCTAAAAATTTCTACAAAATTAATCTATGCAAAATTTCTAAAAAAAGAGTAGAATTTTTTAAGAAATATATTGTTTAATATCTGAGATTAAGTTCAAAATAAGTTCTGTTTTTATCAACTTTTTTCTTTAAAAAATAAAATACAATTATATTTTATTCAATTACATATTCACCATTATTTGCAATGACTTGTTGACACTTATCAAGCAACTGTTCTATGTCTTCTGAGTATATTTTGAACAGATTTTGATGTGAAAAGTTTTCAAACTTAGAAAAAAGAATTTTTTAAGAAAATATATTATTTAATATCTATTAGATTAGGTTCAAAATCACTTTCGTTTTTATCAAGTTTTTTCTTCAAAAATTAAAGTACAATTACATTTTATTCAATTACATTATTTGCAATGACTTGTTGCTACTTATCAAGCAACTCTTCTACATCTTCTGAGTAGATTTTGAACAGGTTTTGATGTGAAAAGTTTTAAATTTACATCTTATTTTGATGTTATTATGATTTTAGTTTTAGTGATAATTTAAAAGCAATAAATATTTATCATTATTAGTACCAATAATGGAAAATTAAGTTAAAAATTTAAAAGAATCGTTTTTGGAATCGGAAAATACCACAAATTTTTCCGATTCCGATACCGTTTCTGATACCCAAAAAAGTTCCAATTTTTCCGATTCTCAATTCCGATTCTGATTAATTGTCCCAACACTAGTAGATATATTCAAAATCAAAAGTATATCACTCACTCAATGGAAAATTGTATCTTAGTAAAATGATACACAGGCAAGACTGAAATTGTTGCACTTTTGGCTTTGTATTTCGCTTTGTTGTTATTCAGAGTTAAAACACCATATCATCCGATAAAATGTTACAACAATGTCTCTTGTTAGTAACCAAAATTGTAGCAACTGAAACACATGAAAGCTGAAAACATTGCTATTTTTCCTACTCACAAATTTCCTGACAATTTATTAGAAAATTTCTGATGGGGGGGACAAAACTGGGGGGGACAAAATTATTTCTGGGGGTCATAAATTATTTCTGGGAGGTCATATGCCCGCCTGCGAAACCCTGTGTCTCCACCACTGTTTTCAGACTATTTTTGGCAACTTAGCCTGGTTGAAAAATTTTGTTGGGGGTGACATTGTGTCACCCCTCCTGTGCTGGCACCCGGGGCGGTCTGCCCCCTTCACTCCTCCTTAGCTACGCCACTGGTGGTAGACCATAATCGTCAACATTCTGAAGGGACATGGCACATAAAAGAAGAAGAAAAGAAAAGTTTTTTTAATGTTATCATTTTTTAAAATATCAGTTCTGCCAATTGATTATTTACAAATATGTTTTTGCCATTACTGTATTTTATTTTGTTTTTAAATTGTATGGTAATCTTAATGTATTTAATTTGCATTGTTAAAGCTGACTTGAATCCAGGCTTTTCTTTTGCTCAAATGATTTTTGGATGAATGATTTTTAGATGAATGTACTGGAAATAAAATATTCCTTTAAAAAAAACAATACAAAATTTTAAAAAAATTGATGATTGTTTTGCAACAAATTAGATCATTTTAAACAAATTAGCTAGATTGTGAGATATAGTCTTATATTTTGACACTGAAATTTATTTGTTTTTCAGATATGCATTAAGGATCAACTTTTTGTTTCTATGAAGTCTTACCTTGGACTCTGTACCTGATAGACTTCATTGTCATCAATTTCTTTTTAAAATGTCAATGTTTTGCTGTTTCATGCTTTTCTGATTCATGTTTTGCTGTCAGTTTCATAAGCATCAATCTTCGTTATTGCGTGTTTGATTGTCAAATCTTCCTTTGATCAAATATGATGCCTTTGTGATACTCTTACTTGTTTTACTAGAATTCTTCTTGCCTTTTTTCTCAGCTCTGAGTTTGTTCATTCAGATTAAATGAGGAAGTAATTATTATCACTAATTAAAAATTTTAAATTTACTTTTGTATACCTCATATGTCCACCTTTGTGAAGCCTTAATTTTGACAGAGGATCTCAATTCTCTCAGTTAGTAATTCTATTGTGGAAATTACCCTTGTCTTCCATGATGCCTGCTAGGTACCATTCTATATAGGATTATAAAAAGAAGGACATAAGTACTTCTTTCATTTTTCTTTTTGTTCTAGGATGTAGCATCAAAAAGAACAGGATTCTTCCCATACAAAGAAACAGTTCCTGGGCAGCAGACCTCTTAATTTCACATTACTACTTGTCTCACCCTAACTAAGTACATACATGTTTCCTTTGGAATACACAATTAAATTTAATTTTGTCTTTTTCTTCTTTTATGAGCTATTTTGTTTACAAGAGCCAGATCAGGAAAGTGGAGTACTGCTGCCATATATGGTACATGAACTGCCTAGTCTTCATTTTCCAATCAAAATATCCAAAAGCAACTCTGTATCCTTTTGGGTGATGAATTATTTTCAACTCTACAACTTTCTCACTGAAAAGAGAAACAATTCAGGGAAGTATACAACCTGAAACTATGATGTTTACCCATGAATTGAAGCAAAAGAACTTCTCCTAGTGTCAGAAACATTATGCCTAAGCAGAGCCCAGACACCAAGACAAACTTACTCAACTGAGTTGTTTGCTTTTGTAGCTTGAGTTTAAGCAGAACAGATGTCTACCTTTTTGATTAGTATAAACCTGCATTTTTGACTCTAGTAAAACCTAGACCTATAAGTAACGCAACTGGTGTCACAAACAATTTATTTCAATTCCAAACAACAAACTACATGGTTTCCTTTTGAAAGTACCCCGCTTGAATATAATGCACTTTCCCATCCTTCTCTGCCATGCTTTTATACACTACTGGAAGGATTATTCTTGGATGCATCTTAGTCCCAGTGTTATGGCTCACATGATTGCATCCAGACCTTCAAAACAAGTCCCTTTGATGATCCCCTTGAGTTTGGGCAAAAGAGGAAAGTGATACAGAGCAAGATCAGGTCAATAGGGAGTTTGTTCCAGTACAGCAAGATTCTTCCTGGCCAGGAACTGCCAGAGGCTTAGGGAATTGTGAGCAGGTGCGTTATTGTGGTGAAGCAGCCATGATTTGCCCTGTCACAAAAGCATGCAAAAAAAAGCTAAGATTACAGTTTTATACTCCCAAGATATCATGTTAGATGATAACATAACCAGCTTATCCCATTTTTGCCTATAGCTCAAACAATACACTCAGTCCCATTACTTTTCAGACAGAACTTGTATGTTTTTTTTTATAATCATTTGATCGCAAGCAAGACAATAATGTCATTAAAATGAAAGTTGTTACTGGGAATGAAAGAGAATGAGTAGATTTTAAGGGAAGGAACCGGAAACTAGTAGTGTGCGTAATACAGGAGAAAAGTGTCTGGTGGCTCAGGGTATCCATATTGGGAGGGTATCCAATCAAAGAGTGAAATAAAAATTTAGTTTATATTTAATTTGAATAAAGTGTTTATTTCATGCTTCATCTTTAAAATGTCTTCCTTTCTCACATTTCTCAGTACTAGGCCCTATAGCGCCCCTCTCTAGTTGAGTCTTAGGAGTATACAATCAAAGAGTTGGCCCCAGGCATTACCAAACCTCTATGTATTAAATTCATTGTTATTTTTATCCTTTAGAAGATATAAAGACAAGATTATATTATTAAAATAACAAAAGAAGGATTGATATATTCTTAAATGAGACAAGCAACTAACTAATCAGTTAATGAATGTATAGTGATATAGGCAAAATGGACTTGCCCTATTTTGCAAAGAGTTGAGGGTCTGCAAAAAAGTCGGTCATCATTTGGCATGGAGGTAGAACTTCTATGTCATGGACAAGAAGACATCACAACAATATGGCATCACTGATAGCACCTCTAATACCATTGGATAAACCGGACTTTGTGGAAACATGGATTCATTATTTTGCTGCGCATGCATGGGGCAACAAGTTAAAAACCATAAAGTTGCAGGGTGAGGGGGGGTGGGGGCAATGAGATTATAGATCTCTTTTTTTGGCAGGATGTGAGGCCATCAGAAAGATCTGTTTTATGGTGTATCCCAGAGAATTGGAGGATTTGACCTTTTTCATGAGTTTCAGACATTTCAGAAAATTTCAGATGTAAAAGAAGTTTGTTATTGCCGAGATGACAAAGTTTCTCGCAAGCAAACAAGAGCTGAACAAAACAATAATAAAGTATTACACAAACTACAAAATGCTTCCTAA